CTCTTTTCTTGATTATTATTTTGGTTATCAGTGTTATCTTCGTTTATTTTTCCTCTTTTCGTTGATACCTCGTCATTCATATTTTCGTCTTCGAGTCTGAAACGCTTTAATCGACTTTTTTGTGGTTTTTCTGGTTTACCTAATAACAATGCAGGTAAAGCGCCTTTTCGAAGCATCGGTTTCTTATAAGTACTCTGAAAAATAATAAACATTTAATAAACAATTAATTACATTAATAAAAATATATAAAAAATATAATAATATAATATTAGTATTATTTTATAAGCTTAAATCAATTTTGTTACGTAAATAATTAAATTAATATACTTTTAATAAATAAAGCGTAAATAAATAATATGTATAATTATTGTTGGTGTTAACGTTTTTTTAGATCAAATTAAATTGTTTAAATTATATTAATTTGACAAAAAGAGTACAAATTATTTGAAAATATTAGTACTGAAAGTTAGATAGTGAATGTCAATAATTATGGAAATTTAATATTTATTCAATTTATTTAAACTTAAAATCATAAACAGCAAATATTAATTTTAATTCTTACTTATAATAAAATAATTTATGTCATTCTATAATATGAATATTTAAAAATAATAAAACCCATTATTTACTTACCCTTCCCATCACTGTAACACCATCAGGTCCATATAATAATCTTTCGTGAAGAATATCTTCTGGATGGAAATGTTTCTCACAAACAACTTCACCTCCTTTGAGCTTAATATCATCTCGCAATATAGCTATTTGCCACTGTTTTATAACTTTTTTGTCTTTTGGCACGCACAAAAAATGTACTTTTTCTTGACAACTGTTATAGCCGGATTTACAACCGACAATAATACATTTATACACCATATTTTACACTTTTTCATCAATGAAAAGTTTGAAAATATATTTATGAGTGTACAAAGTTTACAAATTTTGGAATAAAAAACTCTTATAAATTAAAAAATAAATAATAGAAATAAGAAGCACAATGTTTACAATGCATTCGATATACATTCATTCAAAACCTGGCCTAGAGGACAGTCAGCGCCTCTACCGTCGTTCAGTCATGATTAAAGACACTTACAACTTGGTAAGAACCTACGGCGTGCACTAAGGATTTGCACTGGTTGCCAGACTTTTGATTTTCCACTAGAAATGAGAAAGAAAAGGAGGGAAACTCCGTGACCGTGGAAGTCGGGAGAAGTGCCGTGAATCATTCTATGAGCATAAATTAACGCGCCGTCACAACGCCGGTTAATTAATTAAGCTAAATTGTCCTAAGCGTGAGTAACTGCTGGCGCTTCGTCCAATTCTTCTTGTCCACTTTTCTATGCTTTAGTCCAAAAACGACTTTCACGTTCTCATTTCAGAAAATGTAGATTTCGATTATAGTCTTCCTTATTCATTTCTTAGAAACAAATTTTCGAAAACTGATAATTATAATATCTTCATTTCAATTTCATTTTAATTGCATTTCTTAGCTTCTTGGTTGAATCAAGATTTTGCTTTATATTCGAAATGAAGAAGATTACTTCCGTTAAGTCTCTCTCTCTCTCTCTCTCTCTCTCTCTCTCTCTCTCTCTCTCTCTCTCTGTTTCAAAAATAAAAATATCTACTGAACGAAAAGAATCTGTTTCTAAAAAGAACTTTCCTTTGGAAAAAAGATTATCTTCCCCGCTCATATATTGATATTTGATCATCAAAGTTTTTTCCCGGCCCCAAAAATACAAAAACCAAATATTTTATTGTCGGAGATAAAGATTTTTTTCTTTCAAATACTTTATAAATATTCACAAAGTACTTTGTTGTAAAAAACGTACCAGAAAAAAAGTATAATTAGATATAGAGAAAGCAATAGATTGAGAAGAAAGAATTTTAAAATAAATTCCATTGAGTAAAATGAAATTGCCATCTAACTTTTAAATGCAGTTGCTGACTTGATGTGTAGAAATTTTAGGAACGTCAAGGTTTCACAGCGTGAGTCAGATCCATTAAACAGCATCTTCTCAGTTACAGTATTTTAAATTCCAAATGTCTTCTTCTATTTCTATTCAACTCTGCCTATACATAAATATAAACATAAGCGTATAAATATGCATCACAGAAATACTAAATCATAACTAGTTCATTTTGTCTATATTTCAAAATACCACTAATTTATTTTTCGTGTCAAACCAACAGTGGAGAATACGAGTAATTTATTTTAATGCTAATTAAAAATCACAAATAACGAATATGACAAAAATTGTTCATTTATTATGGTTGTTTTTTAATCTTGACGACTATTTTTAAGAATAAAAGTCAATTGAGTTTTTATTCTTTTTGAAAATGGTTTTTTACTACAAAAATTTTTTCACCAAATTGTTATTCCAAAGCACTCTTAAAAATATTATTATTTGAATATATTTTTGCAAAAATTCAATTATTTACAAACAAAATTTTTAAAAAATTTCACTATAAGAATTTAATTATTTTTTAAAATTTTAGATAATAAATCCTCCGAAACAATTCAATGATTTTTTTAAAATAGTATAAAATCTTTGCAAAAATTCAATTAATGTCAATAAAATTTCACTAAAGAATTATATTTTTTTAAAAAGATGTAAATTATTTAAATATAAATTCCTTGAAACAATTCAATTATTATTTTTATAAATAATAAATTATTTTTTAAAAATTCAATTATTTTCTAAAATTTTAATAAATCCTTCGAAACAATTTAATTATTTTTTTAAAATAGTAAAATCTTTGCAGAAATTCAATTCATTTCAATTAGAAATTCACTAAAGAATTCAATTTTTTTCTAATAAATTAATAAATTCCGTGAAACAATTCAATTATTTTTATAAATAGTTAAATTCTTTAAAAAATTCAATTCTTTTCTAAAATTTTTATAAATCCTTCGGAACAATTAAATTATTTTTTAATTAGTAAAATCTTTGCAAAAATTCAATTATTTTCTAAAATTTTGATAAAATTCCTTTAAACAATTCATTTTACTTTTTAAAATAGTAAAATATTTGCAGAAATTCAATTAATTTCAATAAAATTTTGCTAATGAATTCAATTTTTTTTCCTAAAATTTTAATAAATTCTTTGAAACAATTCAATTATTTTTAAAAACAGTAAAATTCTTTAAAAAAATTCAATTATTTTCTAAAATTTTAATAAATCATTCGAAACAATTAAATTATTTTCTTAAATAGTAAAATCTTTGCAAAAATTCAATTTTTTTCTAAAATTTTTATTAATTTTGTGAAACAATTCAATTATTTTTATAAATAGTAAAATGTGTTAAAAAATTCAACTATTTTCTGAAATTTTGATAAAAATCCTTCGGAACAATTCAATTATTTTTTTTAAATAGTAAAATCTTTGCAAAAATTCAATTATTTTCTAAAATTTTTTTAAATTTTGTAAAACAATTCAATTATTTTTATAAATATAGTAAAATTTGTTAAAAAATTTAATTATTTTCTAAAATTTTGTTAAAAATCCTTCGGAACAATAAATTCAATTATTTTTATAAGTAGTAATATTTATGGAAAGATTTAAATTATTTTTAATAAATAATATAAAATTCTTTCTCAAGAATTCGATTATTTTCAAAATTTTCAATTAAAATTATTCAAAAAAACTACATTATTTCTTAAAGAAACTTTAAGAAATTTTTCAAAAGAATTGAATTTATTTACAAAAACTCTAATAAAATAGTTTAAAAGAGTTTAGTTTTTTATTAATAAATTTAATAAAATTATAATAGTAAAATAATGAATAAGAATTATTTTTAGCAAAATCCATTTTTTTTTAATAAATTAAAGAAATTTTTTGAAAAAATTCAATTATTGTCAAAGAAACTTTATTATATTTCAAACAAATACAAAGAAATTCTTCAAAAGAATTCAATTATTGTCAAATTTTTTGAAAAAATTCTTTGCAAGAATTAAATTACTTTTTAATACATTTATTTAAAAATTGAAAATATTTGAAAAGAAAAATTATTTAAAAAGTTAGGAAACAAGAAAACAAACAACATCTTTAAATTCAAACTGCAAACATTTTACCGGAATACAACGCGATTATTAGACTGAAAAAAAATTTATTTGATTTAAATAACCGATTACTTGACTATTATCAATTAAATGTTTACTTGAATCAAATAATTTTTATTTGACTCAATTAAATGGTACAATTCATATTTGCTTCAAATACTGAAATTATTAGTTCAAATACAATTTAATTGACTCCAATAAATATTATTTGATTCAAGTAAATATTTAATTGATAATCAATTAATCGGTTATTTGAATCAAATAAATTTTTTTTAGTGTAATACAGATTTTTAAAAAACATAAATTTATTAGTAAAATAATTTTCATTACCAATAACTGATTACGAGACCAAATATTTTAACTTTAGGTCCTTTAGGTGAAGTATACAATGTTTATAATCAACGATAGAAAAATGTTATGAAAAAGAAATATTTTCATAGACGAAAATTAATTTTTAAAAGAAACAAATGAATGCAAATTGAAAAAAGTACGAGATTATGTAGTTAATACATAATTTTCAAAGAAAAAATAAATTGAAAAATCGAAAATCAAGTGGAGTACTTTCAGGTGCATCACCCATAGCAGATAAGTTTTTGCGGAAGAAGCACGCAATAGATTTCAATCTTTTAACCTTCAATTAATTTGATAATATTCTCCCTAATTCACACATACCCCATCGAGGGGGATTTTAAATTGATTAACTAACAATGATTTATTCAATAAAGAAGAAATAAAATTATCCTCATACGAGACACAATTCTCCATACCAAAAAACAGTGCAAACACTTCTACTAATAAAAATTTATCGCCTCCAAAACTTTAAATTACATAATCATATCATTGACGAAAATACTTGTGATATGTATTTTTGGCTCCAGTGATGTGTTTAAATAAATGGGCGCCTAAAGAAGTAAATAAAACGTGAATTGCAGGCATACTAACCGGAAATAGTTGGATTTGGGATCAACGCACAGATTGCCAATAGGAGGAATGACACTCTGCAGTTCTGACGACTCTTCTGGCAAGTCTCCAGATTTTCCTCTCTTGCTTGTGGATCACCGATTCTTCTCCCCTTCATCATGCCTCGTGCCACATAGTTTTCGTTCCGGACACGTAAACGTGAACGTTACACTCAGATTGGGGCACGAGAACTTTAATAATGTCTCCAAATTACCATACTTTTATTTTCCATTCGTCACTCTAATTGTTTCCTGTGGGTCGCTGTGGGTTTGTGTTGTGGATAGAATAATTATTCAACACCGCACTCACTAATAAATATATTTCACTTTTTTTCAAAACACGCGCACTGATCAATCTTTTTCGATTAAAACACCACTACTCGTTAAAGTCTGACGATAATTTTTTTCGAATAAACAACTAATTCTTGTATTCATTTTCCTTCTATTCGATATATCAAACTCATTAGAAATGGAATTTGGTTTTTTGGCCCTTACCTGAAACAAAAAAAGGGAGAATAAATTAGTATACGCATTATAGATAATTACATATACAAATGTTACAATTTCAGGGTTGCCAGAAAATTTAATTTTCTTTTTCCCTGATTTCCGGACAAAATTTTCCCTTTTTCCCTGACCACAAAGAAATCATTATTATCTTTCCATAGGAATTAATATTCTTCAAAAGATTCAAAATTCAAACCTTTTTGAAAATCAACAACTTATAAAAATATTCACATAAAACATGAAGATATCGATGACTCCGAGTCTTCGACTCGAAGTGATCGATATCTTCATGTTTTATAATAATTAAAGATGACCGAGTGATAAAATTATTATTCGATTATAAGAATAATAATTGTAAAAATTATTCTTATTATTATAAGAATGTTGTTACTGTAACTTTTTCAAAATTATTTTTATCATTAGAAAATAAAAACTTGAAATAATTTAAAAAAAAACCAGTTATTAAACTTTTTCAAAAAAAATTAACTCTACAATATTGTTCGTTAAAAGAATGAAAGATTTAGATTTTCAAAGATTTTAATTTGAAACCTATTCAACATTCCATTATTTCTAAAATTCATTCTATAATGCTTGCAATATTAATTCAATTATTATTATCTAAAATTTTAACTAAAATTAATTTTTAAATCAATTTTTATTAAACAATTTTACGAGAATTCAATTATTTAAATATAAAATAAATAATTTATTGAATAGCAACAGAACTGAAATATTAAAAAAAAAAAGAATATGTCAGAATTTCTTTGTTTAAAATTGTATTTAAAAAAATTGAAATTCTGTAGTCTGCTACGAGTTCAATTATTTATAAAAATAATTGAAAAAATTTAAAAAATTTTATTATTCATGAATGTAATTGAGAAGAAATTTCTAAAATTTTGTAAATAATTGAATTCTTTTGGAAAATATTTTTTAAAGTAGAAATTGAAAATCATTGAATGGTGGAAAATTTTTTAAAATAATTGAAATTTTTACAAGAATTTTATTAAAATTTTTTGAAAATAATTGAATTTCGCAGAATAATTTTATTATTTTTAAAGATAATTGAAATTTTGATCAGAATTTTTGAAAATTTTTGAACATAATTTAATTTTTCGGAGAAATTTTATTACTTTGGAAAATAATTGAATTTTATAAAAAATTTGTAAATTTTATAAACAATTTGTAAATAATAAAATTCTTGTGGAATTTTTATTATTTATAAAAATATTTAAATGTTTTCGCAGAATATTAATAAAATTTTTTTATAAATAATTCAACTCTTTTGGAACATTTTTTTAAAGTAGATCTTGAAAATCATTGAATTGAGGAAAATTATTGAAAATAATTGAGATTTTGATAAGAATTTCAATAAAATTTTTGTAAATAATTGAATTCTTGTAAAATTTTAATTATTTATGAAAATAATTAAATGTTTGGGAAGAATTTTATTAAATTTTTCTTAAAGAATTGACTTTTTTTGGAAAATTTCATTAAAATAGTAGATATTAAAAATCTAATTTCAGAAGAATTTGAATTATTAAAATTTTTCAAAAATCTAAGTTCTTTAAAATTTATAATTTAATTCATTCAAAATTGAAATTTTAAAAAATTTTAAATTAAAACCTTTTGCTACGAGACTTTAAATATTCAATTATTGTCTAAAATTTTAACTGCAATATTCATTTTTCAATCAATTTTTATTAGAAAATTCTACGAGGATTCAATAATTATTTAGATACAAAAAAATAATTGTTTTCACGAATTTAAAAAAAATTTTTGAAAATGATTGATTTATTTCCTGAAATTTTATTAAAATTGTATTAAGAGCATCTGCGATGAGTTTTATTATTTATAAAAATATTTGAATTCCTGAAAAGAATTTTACTATTTATGAAAATAATTGAATTATATCAAGAAGAAATTTATAAAAAAAAATTTAAATAATGGAATTCCTGTAAAATTTTTATTATTTATGAAAATAATTAAATGTTTTGGGAAGAATTTTATTAAAAATTCTTGAAAATAATTCATTCTTTTCGGAAAATTTTATTAATATACTAGATATTGAGAATCATTGAATTGAGGAAAATTTTTGAAAATAATTGAAATTCTGACAAGAATTTTATTAAATTTTTTAAAATAATTGAATTTTGACGAAGAATTTTATTATTTATAAAAATAATTGAAATTTTGACGAGATTTTTAAAAAAAATTTTATCACAATTGAATTTTTGCGAAGAATTTTATTACTTTTGAAAATAATTGAATTTCTGCAATCATTTGTAACTTCTCCAAAATTTAATTTATTTAGTGTTTTTAACTAAAATTCTTCTTCAAATCCATTATTTATAATAATTAATTAAATATATCTACATTAAAAAATTTAACCAATTTCAGTAGAATATGAATTATTAAAATTTTTGAAAAATTTAAAATTGAATTTATTCAAAATTGAAATTTTATAAAATTTAAAATTAAAGACTTTGGAAGTTTATCTATATATTTATGAAAACTGTAAACGCAACTCTTTTAAAATTCAATTAATTTTGAAATATTTAAGTAACATTATTCATTACATAATTTATAAGTTATAATTTGATGATAGTTCTTCAAAAATTACACTGAAAAAATTATGTTCTAAATTTAAGAAAATCTACTTAAACAGGCGCCAAGAATATTCTTAGCGCCTATTTAAGTAGATTTTCTTAAATTTAGAATATAAATTTTTTGTGTAAGTTTTACAATAATAATAATAATAATAATAATAATTATATATTAAATTACATCAAAAATAATTAATTTATTAATTCTATATACGATTTTGAAATTTACAACGTTTATCAACGAAAAAAAAAGTATTTTAATATTGAAAACTTCATTCAGATTTTACTTTCCTTAGAAATTAATATCTGAATAAAAAGTCAGAACAAAATCAAAATAATTAATTTCTAAGTTCCTCAAATCAGTTTTCCCTCTTAAATACAATGTGATATTGTAAAAAGAAAATAAGTTTGTCTCTCCCTTGCATAAAACATCTCCTGATTAGTGATGTGGCTTATTACTTAAAAATTCATCTCGACTATATTTTTTGTTGGGAATTTTTGATCAAGTTTTCATAAGCTTTTGTCGTGGGGGATTTTTCACCTCTGCGAAGAGGTTTGAACCTTGAAGTTATCACACCTTTAGTTATACACTAGTATCATAAACATGTATAGCGTGAGAAGCAAAAAAAAAAAAAAAAAAGAAGAAGAATTCATCATAACTTGGTACCATTCTGGCTTCTCTTTTATTATACACCTGGTGCAAGAGTGCAACCCTCATCCAGTAGTTGTTTCATGCGTCGCGTCATAGACGACGTTAATTAGTAATGCCTTGCAGGGATAATTTGCACCGTTCTTCATCCCCGTTGTCATGGTCTACCTTTTAAAAAATTGATTCCAGTTTCTCCCTGCGCCTCACGCCTTTGAGATGTAATTACGGAGGCGAAATGAGAACACCGAGAAACGAGGAATATATATATATATATATATATACTATATATTTTGTTCGCTATCCAAAGGGATGAAAATTCTCTCAGTGGTAATACCTTCATGATTTTCCCAAGTAAATTACAAAAAATCTATTCCATAATCAAACTCCACTTTTGAGTTGTAATAATTCTCCTCCTCGTGGAATTAAATTTTCACGAGTCATATATCACAAAAGATATTCAAATATCAAATGAATATTGAAAATTGTCAAATTAGAAAATACACGTACATGAAAAATTTTCAAGTGGGTATAGAAATTGGAAATTTTTTTTTTCGATCATTTACAGGCCTCCCTAGTAGAAATTTGTCATAGTATCTTTAAGGGCACTGGACAGTTCCACTGGAAAATTTCGAGGCACTTTACAGTTAAACTGGCTAAAAACTATAAAGTGATGTCACGCTAATTTCTTCAAGTTATTGTCCAGTCAAATTTTACAGTTTCTGATCATCAGTCCTGTAGAAAAACTATACAAAATAATTCACTTGGAAATGTCAAAACTTTCTTTATATTGACGTTACGTATTAAACACGTACAAATTTGAAAATATAACGTTAAATTTTTTTGTCAACAAATTAAATAAATTAAAATTTTACGAAACTATATTTTTACTGTTGGTGTATCTATTGTTCCGTATAATAAATGATTTATAATAAATTATCTGTAAAATTATTTTTAAATAACTACATAATTAAAAAAAAATATAAAAATTACTGATTCTTGAACACATGTCATTTTTTTACATTAAACAACATTCACTTTTTCCTTTAATTAAGCACAACACTGAAATAAATATTATTATTTTATCACACTACAAACTTATAAGTAAACCCTAATATGAAGAATTAATTCAGTTCAAACGAAAAATATCTAGCGGTTTCGGGGAGCGAACTCGGGTCACACTGGGACGAAATACCTAAACGCACGCTTTACGCATCACGGCCGTTCTAGTCGATGGACGATTCCGGAAAAATAAGAACCATACTCTACCGGCAGGTAAAGCAGTTCCCTTTTTCATCTTTTCTAGCTCAACTGGCGAATTACTGGACAGCTACTGCATAACACTCTAAAGTTGAACTTATTGATTATTACTGTATAGAAGTTCTGTCTGTCCAGTTATTCTCATGGTACTGTCTAGGCGTTCCGTGAAATTATGTTTCAAAGTTTGTCGTGGCGTTAGCGCTACCGTCAGTCCAGCAACTGAACAGTGTTGTGTAGACATTTTCCATAAATACATCAGAGTATACACTGAAAGAAATAATTCGCGGGTGTAACTAGAATTATGTCTATTTTTTCCGTAAGGAATTAGTAATAAATTGTTACTGTCTACTGTCATTAATTATAGACAGTTCTGTTATTCAGATCGGAGAGCTATACATATGTCAACGTCAATTCATCAATGTAAAACATAACCTCACTTTATTGGACCAATTCTAACTTTTTGTATGTAA